TCAGCCAATCAACAATATCTGTTGAGTATGCCCATGAGACGGGCTTAGATGTAGACAATTAAAAAGGAAGACAATCAAATCAAAATAATCCAAATCACTGCGGTGTAGCAGTCCTGGGAGTGAAGGAGCCTACAGTCCCAGTGATGGCACCGGGCAGGCACACTGAAGGGACCAACGCACAAGTGACTTTCCAACACTCCGAATCCAGAGATTCATTTTGAGACAGAGAAGCTGAAGAAATGAAAGGAGGGGGGATTTCAAAGGATGAGACAACAGGAGAGAAGCAGCAGAGAGGCTGGGGAAATGGTGTGGGAACAGAAGAGGGAGCCGGAGGCGCAGCAGTGAGCAGAGGGCAGTCTGGAGTGGGAGCCAGGTGGGTCTGGATGACAGTGCCCCTGGGCCTCCCTACCTGCACGAAGGCTCCCAGGATTTTCCGGGCTTCCTGGTAGAGCTTCTCTCCGTCCCACTGAGGGTTGAGTCTCTTTAGTTCCCTGGCCAGCCGGTTATGCTCGCGGAGAAAGAGGGTGTGGGACGTGGCCAGCAGAATATGCTCTGAAGCTCGAGAATCTCCTGAAAGCCCAGAAGACAGGAAGGTAGATTCTCCCTAACAGCCCCAGGACCCAGTAACCTGCACAAAGAAATGATGGTGCCCCACAGGACCCCCCCATCAACAAGCCCTCCTTCCTGTCAGGTGGAGAGGGATGGGGAGGGGGTGCTGAATCACAGGTTTGACTCTTAGTTCTATATACACACTTTTTAGCTGTGTGACCTTGGACAAGTTACTTAACACTTCTGAGCCTCAGTCTTCTTACCTATGAACATGAGAATAAAGCCTATCATAGGATTGTGACAAAGGCTAGTGGTGACACACTACACAGTAACATTTTGCTAATTATAACCCAATCGCCTTCTAGGAAGGGGGGCTTCGAATGAATGAGGAGCTTTTTACTTCACAGAGCAACTTTGAAGGTTTTAGGAATGCAGGTTTGAGGTAAGGAGCTTGGGTAAGGCTGAGTTCCTCTGGGTAATAAAGGGAGAATAATCTGGAGATGGAAGTGTATAGTGGGAGGGAGAGAGGAGTAAGGATGGGGGAGCAGTTAAATGGCCAAAGACCAGGTGTCTCATAAGGGGATAAGGAACTTCTCCCTGTGCCCTCTAATCTTTAGGGGAGTCTATCTATTATCTATCTATCTGTCTATCTATCTATCTATCTATCTATCTATCTATCTATTATCTATCTATCTATCTATCTATCTATCCATCTATCTATCTTAGACAGTCTTGCTCTGTTGTCCAGGCTGGAGTGCAATGGCATCATCTTGGCTAACTGCAGCCTCAACCTCGTGGGCTCAAGTGATCCTCCTGCTTCAGCCTCCAGAATAGCTGGGACTACAGGCATGTGCCACCATGTGTTGCTAGTTTTTAAATTTATTGTAGAAACAGGGGTCTTGCTATATTGCCCAGGCTGGTCTTGAACTTGTAGCCTCAAGCAATCCTCCCACCTAAGCCTCCCAAAGTGTTGGGATTACAGGCGTGAGCCACTGCACCAGGCCAGGAAAGTCTATTTAAAATTGCAAATTCTTGGTGTGAGTGCATATTTTTATGAAGAACAAAAAAGAACTCAGTTTTGTGTATGGATTGATGTGGGTATATGTGAACGCAAAATCCAAAACATCTGTAAAGGTATCTTGGCCTATGAGCTGGCCTTCTGCAATGTCACGGTGGCCAGGGGGTTTGTCCTAAAAGAGAGGATGTTTGAGGGTGAGATGGCCCCTAGAAGCCGGAAACAGAGGGGACCAGGAGGGCACCTGGAATGAACAGAATTGGCAGGGCTTTGGTCATGCACAGGCTGTGTGGAGTGGGGGGTTTGTGCCCAGGTTATAAAAAGCTTTAAAAATATACATTCCTCTTCATCTAGAACTTCCTCTTCTGGGAAATTATCTTAATAAATGTATCAAAAATGAGAACAAAGATTTATCAGTGAAGATATTCCTTACCTAAACAACAGCAACAAAACACAGAAAAACTGGAAATAACTAAATTCCCCCAAGTAGGGTAGAGAAAATGAATGGTGGTAACATGCGTCATGCAATACTAGGCAGCCATTAAAAATCATGTCATAGAAGAACAGTTAATGGCATGAGTAGATGAAGTGAAGACGTCAGGTTTTGGAGCATTATTTATAGTAGGACCCAATTATGTAAAACAATGTAGAACTGTATCTGTGATAGGAAAAACACTGGAAAATAAGCATTAAAATGTTAATGATGATTATTGGTGGGTAGCGGGATTGTGTGAATTTTTTTGTTTTCTTTTCTTTTTTTTTTCTTTTTTTTTTTTTTTTTTGAGACGGAGTCTCGCTCTGTCGCCCAGGCTGGAGTGCAGTGGCGTGATCTCGGCTCACTGCAAGCTCCACCTCCTGGGCTCAAGTGATTCTTCTACCTCAACCTTCCAAGTAGCTGCGACTACAGGCGCCCGCCATCACGCCCGGCTAATTTTTTGTATTTTTAGAAGAGACAGGGTTTCACCATGTTAACCAGGATGGTCTCGATCTCCTGACCTCATGATCTGCCCACCTCGGCCTCCCAAAGTGCTGGAATTACAGGCGTGAGCCACCAGGCCTGGTACTTTCTATTTATTTTCTTTGTTACTTTTCTGGACTTCCTGATGTTGTTTTACAGTGAATACATGTTCTTGAATTCTTTATTCATCTGGGCCTTTCTGCTAGTCCTGGACCAGGACCTGGCTAGGGACAGCGATGGCTCAGTGTGCATTTTTCCAGAAAGATGACAAGAAGGGGGCAGTGGTAAAGCTTCCCTGGATAATCCCCTTGTCCTTGGGCCCTTCTGTTCCCAGGCTAGAGACTCACCTGCCAGGAAGCAGGGCACACGGGCTGTGGTGTTGATGAACTCACAGGGGCTTGGCTTCTTGCTATCATAGGGCAGGTAGGGTAGCCCATGGTCTGAGACCTCCTGGTTGACAGCCATGAGACCCAGGGGGCTGCTGAGGTTGCGGAGGCGGCTGGCCAGGCTTGGCTCGGAGCTGTACACAAAGCTGGCATCCAGGAAGGAAGTCAGAGCATTAATCTGCTCTCGGGCCAGGGACTTGTAGGGTGGAGTGGGGCAGACAAATCCAGCTCGGAAGAAAGGCATGCATTTCCCTTGAGTCCTCGCCTTGGGGTCATTGGGTGGGAACTGCAGAGAGATTGGGCATAAGTGACTGGGCAGGGGTGGAACAGCTGGGCCCTGGCAACCTCTCCCCAGGGCAAGTCTGGATGCAAAGATGCTGATGGCGCCCTCCTGGGACCCTGGTACCGGACACTGACCCCAGACACTTCTTGCTGACATTACATACCCTGGGCTCATAATATCTTGAAGTTCATTACATCCTGTTGTGTGAAAGAGCTGAGGGTAATCATTCAGTCCTCACAGTGAGGACTCCAAATTTTTGGTGGGGAGGGAGTCCTGAGCTCCCTGGACAGGAAAACAGGACATGAGGTGGGAACAGATTTGTTAATAATTACTATTAAGGACAGCTGCCATGTATTTATTTTGGGCTTACTATGTGCCAGGAATTATGCATACTTTAACTCACCTCAGTCCTCGAAAAAACCCTGTAAGGTGGACAATTCAGTTCCATTTTATAGATGAGAAAACTGGGGCTCAGAAAAGTTAAGTAAGTTACCTAAGAACTTACACACTGGAAGGGAAAGATGTAGGATTCAGATCATTGGCTTCATTCCACAGTTTATGCTCTTTATACCACAGCACATAGCCTCGATTTATTCTGTGAGTGAATAAATGACTCTCCAACTGTAACACCCACGAATAATAGGAAAAGATGCATTGCTGCAAGCTCCTCTCCCTTCCAGATGGAAATTCCTACAAATCCCTGCTGCTCACTCGGATTCATCCAGGTTTCAGGTCCTTCTGAGTGGAGTTGAAGTCATCCTCTACAATGATGCACAGCAGCATAAACTTTAACTGCATAAAATGAATCTCTGGGGATCTTGGCAAAAATGTAGAATCTATTTCCTAACATCTTGGGTGAGACTTGAGATTTTGCATCTCTTTTTTTTTTTTTCTTTTTCTTTTTTATTTTTTGAGATGGAATCTCTCTCTGTCACCCAGGCTGGAGTGCAGTGGCGGGATCTCAGCTCACTGCAACCTCTGCCTCCCAGTTTCAAGCGGTTCTCCTGCCTCAACCTCATGAGTAGCTGGGATTACAGGCCTGTACCACCACGCCAGGCTAATTTTTGTATTTTTAGTAGAGACGGGGTTTCACCATGTTGGCCAGGCTGGTCTCAAACTCTTGACCTCAGGTGATCTGTCCACCTCAGCCTCCCAAAGTGCTGGGATTACAGGCGTGAGCCACCTCTCCCAACTGAGATTTTACATTTCTAATAAGCTCCCAGGTGTTACCAATGCTGCTAGGTCGGGGATGTAGACAACCTTCGCCAGTGTTCCCATTCTGCTATCAGTAGTTTACTTGTCCAATTCCCACGCTGGCCCTTTGTTCTTGAGAGCTGGAGCAGTGTCCTGTTCCCTTTGGAATCCTCAGCATTTAGTGCATTGCCTGGTATGGGGTGGTCAATGTCTGTTTACTGAATAAATGAATGAGTGAGGCATGGAAAACTACCAAATCAGTATCCATGATCTATCCAGAGATCCTAGCTGATGAGCTGGGAATGTCTGCTACATCAGGGTGGGCAAGGGGCTAGCTAGTCAGAGACGCCCAGCTGCAGGGCCTTACCATGATGGGGAAGCAGTTGTCTCCCTGGATACAGTACTCATCACACTGGGCTTTGGAGTACTCACTACTCCCCAGCTCTGTGTCAGGGGCAAAGTCCAGGTCGTGATCTACAATCTGACCCCACTGCATGAAGAACAGGGACCTGTTTTGGTCCAGAACACCCTCCTCATTCAGATAGCCAACAATCTTGTTAGATACCTCCCGGGCCTACAGATGGAGACAGAAGGGGAGGGCAGATTAGAGGAAAAAGTGCTTTGAGGATTCAGATGCAACTACAGCTCATTAACTACCTACCATGTTACAGTACACTTAATCCCTACGAGGAGTTTGTGAGGTGGGTAGCATTAGCCTCTTCTATAGAGGGGGAGATTGAATCCTGGACAGGTAAAGTCAGTTCTCCAAGGTCCTGCTGCTACAAAGGGACAGGGATGGGATTGAACCCAGATCCGTATGACTTGATGACTTGCCAGGCCAGTGCCCTTTCCACTAAGAGAGGGAAAACAAGGACAGGCTGCCTCTGAAATACAAGCTACGAGCTAGGGAGGTGCCAGGTGTGGGGGAATAGAGAGGGGCTCTGGGTAGGGGCTGCCAACTCCCATAAGGCCAACAAATAGGACCTCCAGGCAAACAACAGCTGATGCACTCCAGGGGCGAGGGTTGGGGTAAGCGCCAGCGGGATGGGGCAGGGAGGCCATCTGCCTGGGAGACCCCAGGGTATCTGGCCTGCGGCGACCGGGACGTGACCACCACGTGGCTGAGCTCCGGGCTCCGAGCTCTGCTGCCCTCTAGCGGCAGATGGGGGTCTGTGCAGATCTCCATCGCGCACCCCTGCTGCCCGCACCGATTTCTCCTCCTCCTTTCCCTGCGAGCATCCTGTCCCCTCTGACTCCCATCCTTCACCCCCGCCCAGCCTGCCCTCACCAGCGGGAGAGCGAAGCCGTTGCGCGTCTTCCCCGGCGTCCAGCCGAAGGGCAGGGAGAGCCCGTCCTCGTACTCCGCGGGCAGCCAGCGCGCCAGAGCCCTGTTGGCGGCGCCCAGCGCAGGCTTCCTCCTGAAACCAGCACGATCCTCGCTGAGCTTCGGCAGGCCGGCTCTGGGGCTTCAAAGCCCAGGACCTCATGGGGCAAGGAGCCTCTGCTCAAGGCGGAGGGGACGCAGAGAAGGGGGCCTCTCAAATGTGCGGTCTCTGAACTGCGACCACACCCTGAAGGCGCGGGGCTCCCCCGCCCCCGGGAAAGGTGCCGCTTCCAGAGACACACAGTGGGCTAGCGGGAGAGGGCTGGAGACGCGCGATCTTGAGAAGATGGGGAAGGTGGGAACGCCAGCCCAGGTGGGCAAGGCAGTGGCAGATCTGCCTGGAGTGCCCAAGGAGCAAAAGCCTTGGCGGGGCGGGGCGGCGTGGCTGGAAGGGTCGGCCCCCACAGCCCAAGCCCCGCCACCTGTTGTTGCAGTCTCCGGTGATGGTGCGGTAAGGGCTGCACGGGTCGCATCTCACCACCGGAGCAGGGGCACCACAGCCCACCTCCAGAGACAGCGAAGTCAAGTCCAGGCTGGGGTCTGAAACAGAAGGGACCCCAAAGGGACTGAGTTCTTTTTCCATTCGCAGGCACCCGTGGGAGGCAGAAAATGGAGACCAGAGGTGAACCTGCATGTTTTGGAATGCATTCCATTGTAAGTAAGCGTTTCTCAAGTGGTTTCTCAATTAATCTGACAGCACATTAAGGTAATAAATTTTATTCCCATTTTACAAGGAAGAAAATGAGACTACAGTGTTCAAGAGACTTGCCCAAGGCCACACAGAGTAACTGGTAATGTTCCCAGAATTGCTAGTAATTTCTGATATACCAGGTCCAGATTCATTTGAATTGACAGATCTTTCTTTTAGAATGGAAATACCCCTGGGAGGTTAAGCATATGTTAGCATGAGTTAGTGTGATAAGACCGCTTTCTTCTAAAGCTTCATTTACATCTAAAGTACCAAGCAAGCCGGGCGCGGTGGCTCAAGCCTGTAATCCCAGCACTTTGGGAGGCCGAGACGGGCGGATCACGAGGTCAGGAGATCGAGACCATCCTGGCTAACACGGTGAAACCCCGTCTCTACTAAAAAGTACACAAAACTAGCCGGGCGAGGTGGCGGGCGCCTGTAGTCCCAGCTACTCCGGAGGCTGAGGCAGGAGAATGGCGTAAACCCGGGAGGCGGAGCTTGCAGTGAGCTGAGATCCGGCCACTGCAATCCAGCCTGGGCGACAGAGCCAGACTCCATCTCAAAAAAAATAAAAAATAAAAAAATAAAGTACCAAGCAAGCAGGGACATAGCGAGGACAGACGTTGGGAAGGGATAGGTAATTTTTCAGTGAGGGGCAGGGGTTGTGGGAGGAGTGACAGAGTAGAGGGGCTTTAGGCATCAGAGGGTTCAGTGGGGGCACAGAGTGGAGAGAGATGCCCACTTCTGAACACATACCCTCATATGCATACCTCATCCACCCTGGCGTCTGCAAGAACAGGGAGGTGAGGGAATCTGGCTCATGGGGGCTTCTTTGGGGGGCCATCTCTGAAAGGTGGCAGGATTTCAACTCTCAGAACCTTTTGGATTTCAGAGGTCAAAGTGCTTCCTACTTTTTACCCTGTCTCAGTTTCCTTTTTTTGGAGCTTTGGAATTTGCCCAACTCCTAGGCTAGGTTTCCCCCCTCACTTGATGTTTTCCCAGGGAGAACCTGTAGCCTCTTCCTCCTGTCAGGACCAAACCCCTTCCTCATGACCCTCTGTGGGCTGTGGCATTTGGTTGGGGATGAGAATGGAGGGGATGGAGGAGGCCATGACCAAGCCATCAGTTAAGTTCATTTACTGATAGCCCCATCTTACCCAGAACACGATGGAAATCTTAGCTCCTGTGACATTATTCCAGTAAATCCCCCTGACACAGGTGGCTTAAATATCACCTTTACTAGAGGAAGTGGTGACACTGTGGTTTAGGACAAGGAACCCATGTTTATTGACTTTAGCACTTCCTTTGGGCAGAGGCCTTACAGATAGTGTTATACAAAGAGCACCAATGTCCTCTCACTTGGAGTTGGCAATGTGAGCTTGCTAGGTCTCAGTTCCTTCCTCTGCAAAAAGAGCATTGCCCTAGCTGTCCTCTAAGCCCCTTCTTGCTCTGCCAGTCTCGTCTACTGGTCTAAGAAGGGAGAGACGGGAGTGTTCCCCTGAGTAGATCGCTCTCAACAGGAAGTGCAGCTTTGGGTGGCCTCTGCTCTCTCCTGTGGGGAGATGACCCCTTCCTGCCACAGAGGGCTGGCGGGTTTTCTGTACCTGTGACATTGGTCAAGGACGCCTTCTGCCCCAGTCTCTTTAAAGACTCCTCCCACACCTGTCCGTTGCGGATGGCTGTACGCGTCCGGCCTTTGGCATGCTTGAGGTATTCTGAGAGCTGTCGGCTGGTGGGAGTCTCAGAGCTCATGGCGGTCTTCAGCCTACAATGGAGGGAGATGGGGATCATGGCCTGGACCCTGTAGGAAGGGGGCTGGGGGCCGCTGGAGGGGTGGCAGGGGATGTGTGTACAACATGGCCTCATAACCCAGGCTGCTGCACTGTCCAATACAGTAGCCACTAACCACATGTGGCTATTTAAATTGAAACTTATTAAAATGAAAATTAAAAATTCAGCTCCTCAGCAGCACTAGATGCACCTCAAGTGCTCAATAGCCAGGTGTGGTTAGTGGTGACTCTGTTGGGCAGTGCAGATAGAGAACGTTGCATCATCCTAGAAAGTTATCTTGGACCCTGCTAGCCTAAAGTGGGCATAGAGCTGGACGGACACAGGGGTGGATCTGGGTTCCACCAGGATTGGTTTAATTACATGACCTCTGAGTGACTTCCCCTCATTTATGAACTGGGAATCACAGTTTTCTCCCATCAGAGACTTATGTTTGGACTTTGGGATAGACTGACTGGGACTGGCTCCTGACTGCCACTTTCTAGTTGTGTGCCTTTGAGGCAAATACTTATGCTCTTTGTACTCAGTTTCCTTATTGGTATAATGAAAATAATGATAGTAACCTTAGGTTGAACCATGCTGTTTCATCATTTTTGACCTTGAAAATAGCTGTTTTCTACAGTTCGATTGAGTACTTCCTAGGATTTTGGGGAGGAATGAATGTAGAGCCCCCAGAGCTGTATCTGCACAGAGCACACACTTGCATGTGCGAGCATCACTGTTACCATCAGCCGGGTCCCACAGGGGCTGCTGCAAGGTATTAGAGTCCCTGCCTCACACCATGAACAAAGGCAGGCAGGCCGCTGGGCCCCCGTGGGCTTAGCCTGTAAGATCCCATCCAAGGTTCCAGATGCTCCTTCCTTTCCCGCCCCGCCCTGGGCTCTGCATGCTTCCCCTGCCTGGACACAGATTTACCAGGGACTCACCTCCTGCTCTGCCCTGGGGTTGGGCTCTGTCGGGGGCAGGCAGGTCTTGGAAGGACCTCTTTGCCATCTCCACAGTCTCTACCCCAGTCCTAGCCATCATCCTCTCCCATCTAGACAGCTCTTACTTCCACACCTGTCCTCTTCCCATTCGTTCTCCACAGGGCTACTGGAGTGATGTTTTTAGCATAAAAATCAGACCATGTCATCGCTGATTCAAGTGTTATAATGGCTTACCCTGGGGCAACACACCTCTGCTCTCACCTTATGTGTGATCTTCCTTGCCTCCTGCCTCCACTGGCCTTCCTTTTCCTGAGCACCGCACAGGCTTTCCTGCCTCAGACCCTATGCTGTTGCAGTGCCTGGAACGCCACCCCCATGCCCTCTGCCTGGGTGGCTCCTTACCATTCTCCAACAGGCTTCCCTGATCCCTGTGCCTAGAGTGGTATCTCTTGCCCTGTTTATTTCCTTCATTTTCCTTATAAATTGTGAGTCACTGCACTGTGTGTGTACTTGGGTAATAGAATGTTTAAATGTGACTCGTTCTGTCTCTGAGTGAGGTCCCTGAGTCCAAGGACTAACAAGCGGGGAAGGGCTCCTCCACATTTCAAAGCAGGGCAGTGGTTTGCCTGTGCAGGACTTGCAAAGGAGGTGTATGAACACCAGTTTTGTGGCTTTCATGCTGTCCCCCATCGTGTGGCTATAAAGGGAATGAATTCGAGGAGGGAGAGAGAATTTTCCTTTGGAGACATTTGCAGAAATACTGGTCACTTCCCTCCCACCACCATGAGGCTCTCCCTTTGCCAGTTTAATTCTAGGGAGAAAGGTCTTAGGAGGAGGGCTTGACTGTGTGTCCTGGAGTCCTGGCTGGGGTTTGACACCTGCCTGAAGAGCAGTGTCCTGACAGCACAGAGAGAGGGGCAGGGCAGCCCCGTCGCAGAATCCGGAATCTGCACGGCCCCCACAGCAGGGCGAAGCTGCTAGTATTCTGGAGGCTGCTTAAAAGGGACCTGCCCCAAGACAGGGTGGGGAGGGGTGAAGGAGTGGGCCCGATGCTCCCAGGCAGAGACGGTTAGAGCTGGGAGTCACTGGCCAGAAAATTTTCCAGATCACAGAGTTGGCAGCAGAATCTCTCTCTGAAACCAGGAAGGTACCCAAGGGGAGACAGAGAGAGAGCTTCCGGCCCCTTGAGGACTGAGCTGTTCAGGGGATGTAGACTCACCACCCCTTTTTCCTCCCTCCCTCAGCTTAACCAAGGAGCAGAAACCCAGGCTGGGAAGGAGGAGCCCCAGAAAGAGGGAGAAGGAGACTGCACTCTCTTCTCCTGCCAGAGGCCTCAAGCAGTTCTGAGCTGAAGGAAGAGAACAGGTCTGGGCTTTATCTTCTTATGCTGACATTTTAATTCCTGAGATAATCCTGGTCTGGGGACTAGAAGCGTCCAGAGCATGTTTTATCATCTAAGTCACCAAAAAAGTTATCTGATGGCTTGAGAGTTCATTCAAGGGCCAAGGAGGAGTGAGTGGTGGCCCAGGTCCAGTGCAAAGGGACAGCGAGAGGAAAGAATAAGGTTACTTTTTTCTCAATGTCTGCCCTTTCCCTAGAGTGTGCGTTTCCTGAGGGAAGGTGCCCACGTTGCCCCTGCACAGGATTGGAGGGTGGTTGACTCTATTGGTGCCCTGTGGGCCCTGGGCTCTTCCCCTTGCTGCCACGGGTGCATCTGCTGCAAGCTCACTCCAGCAACCTTGTAGGGCGCCTGCTTCTGAGCCACTGGAGTGGCCTGGCTGGGGGTGCCAGGGAATTCCACAGGTGTGCCACAACACTTCTCAGCCACCTGCAAGCCTGCAGCCATGTCTGACTGACGTGGGCAGATGAGGGCTCTGCTCCCTTGCTCCAAGATGGGACAGGCTCTGAGGAGCAACTTCTGCTCCAGGTTTCCCTGTAGGGTCAGGCTGAGGCTAGACCTGAAGTCACTTTATTTGTCCAACCTCCCCCTTTGCTTCTCCTGCTTCTTCACCCCGTCACAGCTTCCCTGTGAGCACTTGTGTAATATGTCACTGGCATCTGAATGCAGGGCTCGGATTTGGCTTCTGGTGGACCTGGCCTCAATTAGTCCATATCAGTTGGATGAATAAAGAACTTTTACTGAGAGGCTTTCTGGAACTCTGGAATGCATGGCTCAAGGAAACATTGGGCCACGTGGAAGAAAGTCCTTCTAGGCCGGGTGCGGTGGCTCACACCTGTAATGCCAGCACTTTGGGAGGTCAAGGTGGGCGGATCACGAGGTCAGGAGATCGAGACCATCCTGGCTAACACAGTGAAACCCCATCTCTACTAAAAATACAAAAAAATGAGCCGGGTGTGGTGGCGGGCACCTGTAGTCCCAGCTACTCAGGAGGCTGAGGCAGGAGAATGGCATGAACCTGGGAGGTGGAGCTTGCAGTGAGCTGAGCTCACGCCTCTGCACTCCAGCCTGGGTGACAGAGCAAGACTCTGTCTCAAAAAAAAAAAAAAAAAAAAAAAGTTCCTTCTAGGGTTAGATTAGATGTCCTCTTCCAGGTGATGTACAGGCTGGGGACTTTAGGAATGTGGGCTATTGCTCCTACTTGTCATGTACTTGGAAGGCTGGGAGGATGGAAAGGCAAGTTTTATCATTGTTCGCCTCACTGGCTCATCGGGGCTGGCCTAGATGTGCTTGTCATGAACAGGAAGCCTGTGAAGGGAAGTGTGTGTGTGTGTGTGTGTGTGTGTGTGTGTCTCACGTACCTGGTTCGGGAGTCCAGGAAGGCCTTGTTGACTTGGACCTTGGCCTGACTCACGGCATCGGAGATGGCAGAGGTTCTGGTGGTCTGTGCTTGGAGTTGGAGTGGGGAGCAGGAAGTAGGTTGTCAGACACCACTCCTTTGCAATGTCTTCTGCTTTTGTCTCCCTCTTTCTCAGCCATCACCCCCACCCCGCAAATCTGGGCAGGCAGGAGATCAAGATTAGGAAAGTTTCATAAGAGTCCTTAAGGGGAAAAAGCACAGAATGGGAAGAATACTCTTGGATCTTCAATAAGATGTCAAAATTGCTCTTTGAGATCTCACTAGAATGCCCAGAGATGGGATGAAGAAGGAGTGTGGCCACTCAGGGTGGCTTGGGCTGCTGGGCTGTGGGGATTTGTTCATTAAAGAGGACCCACTGATCACCAGGACCCTGATGTAGAGAAGGGGATGGCATGATAGTAATGGGATTCCCTGTTCCCTCTTGTATTGGTGTCTGGAGCATGGAGGACAGGATCTGTTTTCTCAACAAGGAGAGCATAGTGGGTTAAATAATGGCCCTCCCAAAATTCACATATGAATGGAACCTCAGAATGTGACCTTATTTGGAAGTAGGGTCTTTGTAGATGTTATGAATTAAAATGAGGTCATACTGCCTTAGCATGGGCCCTAAATTCAATGAATGGTGGTTTTTTGAGAAGAAGAGAGGACACACAAAGAAAAAGGCCACACAAAGACTGAGGCGGAGATTGGAGTGTTGCAGCTACAAGCCAGGGAACACCAAGGATACCAGAACCACCAGAAGCTGGAAGAAGAAAGGAAGTATTCTTCCCTAGAGCCTTCAGAGGAAGCACAGGCCTGCCAACACCTTGATTTTGGACTTCTATCTCCTGGACTGTGAAATAATACATTTCCGTTGTTTTAGGCCACCTAGTTGGTGTGCTTTGTGACAGTAGCCCCAGAAAACCCATAAAGGGAGACACTCACCTCTTGTGGCAGATGCTGCAGCCTGAAGCAAGATGAGAGAAGCCAGGAGGGCTGGGAGATGGAGAAGGACCCCCATCGCTGAAATGAGATGCAGGATCACTCTGTGAGCCTCTCTAGAGCCCAAGTGGGAGGGTTTTTTTTTTTTTTTTTTTGAGACGGAGTCTCACTCTGTCGCCCAGGCTGGAGTGCAGTGGCCGGATCTCAGCTCACTGCAAGCTCCGCCTCCTAGGTTTACGCCATTCTCCTGCCTCAGCCTCTCGAGTAGCTGGGACTACAGGCGCCCGCCACCTCGCTCAGCTAGTTTTTTGTATTTTTTAGTAGAGACGGGGTTTCACCGTGTTAGCCAGGATGGTCTCGATCTCCTGACCTCGTGATCCGCCCGTCTCGGCCTCCCAAAGTGCTGGGATTACAGGCTTGAGCCACCGCGCCCGGCCCAAGTGGGAGGTTTTGAATCACAGAAAGCAGAGAAAGCCCAAGGAACGCCAGACACCCTAACACTGGAACAGGGAAGGAGAAGCCACATTAACGAATGAAACATCTACTTTATGCACAGGCCTGTGCTAGGTGCTGGGAGTGATGGAAAGAGGAGAAGCCGTGGTGGAAGGGAAAGAACTCAGGCTTCAGGATCGAAGGCCCTGATTTATCATTCTGCATTTGCTCCAAATAGCTCTGTGACCTTAGGCAGGTTACTTAACATCTCTGGGGTCCTGGCTTGCTATGGGAGGAGGTGAGACCAAGTGATCCAGAATATCCAATTCTGCCCTGACAGCCTGTGGTCCTGAGATGCTGTGCCTGTCTTGTCACAGGTGTGAGAAACGCTGTTACCAAGCCTGGAGCCTGCCTTTGAGCTCTCCTCCCTCCTTCCCTCCAGGATGCACGCCTCCCTGCAAGCCAGTTTCCTCTGGCCCAGCCCCAGGGGAGAGTGCCTGAGAGGTAGACACTCAGCGCCTCCCTTCGGAAACCTGGCAGGGGCTTCCCCATCCCTCAAAGTGCCAACTTGATGGCACTACTGAAAGTTATGACAAAGCTCAGAGCTCCCCTGAGCCCACAGCTGTGTCCCAGCCTGCCTGGGAAGATTCCAGCTCATGGATTAACCCCTTCGCCATGAGCTTTAACTCGAACGCAAGTCTTTAGAGTAAATTTTGTGCAGCTTTGTTTTCTGATGAGGGTCTTCATTGGGCTTAGTGGAGCAGACCCCGTATGTCTTCTGAGGAGATTCTGGCTCCAGCCTGGGGAGATGGAATGATTGTGTGTTTAGAACATGGTCCTGAGAGGCTCCTCAGTTTTCACAAGAGCGCATGGGCTCTCCCTGCAGCACGGCATTCACTGGTAGAATCCAGAAGCACACTAGGGAGAGCAGCCTCAGGTTGCCCCCCCGCCACGTCTCCCCAAGGCTCAGCTCCCAGAGAGAAATTCTGGAGCTCTGCCTGACAGATTTCCCCACTTGTCTTGCAGACCCTCTCCAAATCATCTCCCCTTGGAATAGGCCAGACCAGGAGAACTCTGTATCTGGATCAGGTCATTTCAGCCTCTTTCACCCCGTCTGCCTCCAATTTTTCCCTTGAATAATTTGTATCTTGTTGGATGTACTTTTTGTAAGCTAACTCTAGAGAAAAGGCAAGGCATGAATAAATACCTCTCTGGCCAAGATTCTCTGTTACTTCTCCCTACCCCAAGATGAGTTCTCAAACAGCTTGACCTCTCAGTGGGCTCTTGTCCTTAGAGTTGTATGGCCCCCAGGAGAAAGATATTCTGTGACCTCCTATCCCTCTGTCACCATATTTTGCAGCTTCAGGGGACCCATTGCAGGGTTCATTGAGTTAGCAGAAATCTGCCCTTCAGACAAACAGAGATGATGATTTTGGAGGAAAAGGTATCATTGACTTTAAAAAACAAATTGTGATTAAAAAAACATGGCCAAGTGTGGTAGTTCATGCCTGTAATCCCAGCACTTTGGGAGGCCAAGGTAGCAGATCACTTGAGGTCAGGGTTGGAGACCAGCCTGGCCAACATGGTAAAACCCTGTCTCTATTAAAAATACAAAAATTAGCCAGGCGTGGTGGCATACACTGGCAATTCCAGCTACTGGGGAGACTGAGGCAGGAGAATTGCTTGAACCTGGGAGGTGGAGGTTGCAGTGAGCCAAGATTGCACCACTGCACCCCAGCCTGGGTGACAGAGTGAGACTCCATCTCCAAAAAAAAAAAAAAAAAAAAGAAAGAAAAAACCAAAAACCCAAAAAAACCACATAGCATAAAATTTAGCATCCTAGTCACTTAAACTATGTAGTACTATAATGTCAGGTATATTCACATGTTGTACAATGGATCTCTAGAACATTTTCATCCTGTAAAAACTGAAACCCTATACCCATTGAACACCAACTCCCTATTTCCCCTTCCCCCCAGCTCCTGGCAACCACCACATCATTGATTTTTTTAAGACGGCTGTGGGCACAAGCATTCATTATGTTGTTCTTTGAATGACTAATGCATTTCATAATAAATGACAAACACAAGTTAAAAAATTAGTCCATTTTTAAAAGAGGCATCATCTGAGACAGCCTGAGGAAGACAAGATCATAGAAGAAGATATGAAAGTTGAGAAAATTAAACAGGAACT